TTCAGAGTCATCACATTGTCGAGTATGTACCGGCCTGGGATGAAACCCGCTTGATCGATATGGAAGCACTTGTCTGTCAGATTTATGATCCTGTTGGCTAGTGCTTTCGCTAGGATTTTGTAGGGGGTTGTGAGTAGCGAGATGGGTCTATAGTTTTTAAAATCCTCTTTCTCGCCTTTTTTGTGGAGTAACGACACTACACTTGTGCTCAAGTTTTTGCCTAGTCCTCCTCGGTCCCTGCTATCATTGAAAAAATTGAGAAGGTCCTCGCCTAGTGTGGGCCAGAAGTGGACCCAGAACTCTTTCGATAGTCCATCAATGCCCGGGGCTTTATCGTTGCCCATCTGAGTCAGGGCTGTGTGTAGTTCACCCTACGATAGTGGTCTGTCCAGCCCCTCGGACTGTTCTGGTGTGATTGTCTCCTCCAGGTAGGCCATCATTCGCTGCCGTGCTGCTGAGTTGGTTGAGGGGAGGGGGGACGGTGTTATGGATTCGTAGAGCTGTGCATAGAACGAACTAGCTATTTTCACCATTCCCGAGCCTGACTGGTCGACCCTGTTCACATTGTTCGGGTCCATCAGACCTTCAATGTTGTTATTTCTGGCGTTGGCTTTGATTTTTGCGAAGAAGTGCTTTGTCATTGATTCATTAAGGGTGTGGTCGGTCATCCTGGCTCGGATCTGCAGACCTCTCAGTTCCCATCTCCTCCAGTCATTGAGTTCTTCTCGTGCTGAATCGAGTAGTTGGCTGTAGAAAGTGTTTGAAGGGTCTGCTACAAGGTTTTCCTCCGCAAGAGACATGGCGAGTTGGAGTTCTTCTTTTCTAATTTTTTGTTCTCCTGCGATGCTTCTGGATTCCGTTGAGACTGTTTGGGTAAGGTCAGTGTAGCTATCTATAAACCATTGGTGTCTGTTGTCCTGTCTGACATTGTTCTGTCTCAAGAAGAACCAGTTTCATCTAACTGCCTCTGTTAATCTTTCGGTGGATAAGAGGGAGTTGTTAATTCTGTAAAAGCCCCGACCTTTTTCTGTGGGGGAGTCAAAGTTCAAGAGTAGCTCTACTGCCTTATGGTCTAGACCCCGGAAGGCCGCTGGTGGGCGGATCTTCGCCTGTTTGATTGTTCCTTGGAGATGCTTGGAGATTAGGAAGAAGTCAATCCTGGACAGCGACGTTCGGTTGGCCTGATTCTTTTTTAACAAAGAAAAGGTTTTTTTCTCTGGGTACAACGTTCTGAAAGGGTCAATGAGGTCGAATTCTATCATAATGTTTCTTATGTGGGTTCCTGCTCTTGTTGGACCTATCAATTGGGAGCGGGAGATACGGTCTAGGTTTGGATCCAAGGTCGTGTTCCAGTCGCCTGCGATGATCACCGGTTGAGGATTTGGGATGAGGGATTGGATGCTGGTGAAGAAGGTTAGGCGTTCGTTTTCTAAGTTGGGGGCATAGATGTTTAGTATTCTCAGTTCCTCGTCTTGCCATCTGACGTCAAGCCATGACCATCTTCCTTCTGCGTCGTCTCCCGCATTGTTGAGGATCTGGCCTTCTGACCGCAGCTTGGAGGCGTTAGGTACTAGTATAGTTGTTCCCCGTTTGCTGAGCCCTTCGAGGTTGGACCATAGTGCGAAAGCACAGCCCCCAAGGCTTTTTTCTATTGCCCTTTTTATGCTCCCGTGGTTTGGGAGATTCGATAGGTGCGTCTCTTGGAGTAAAACCACATCTGGTTTGGGTCTGTTCCTGTCGTAGAGTCCTAACCGGATATCCCTTGACTTATCTTCCTCTGTTATTGCGTTACCCAACCCATTAACATTCCAGCTGATTATTTTGAGTCCTTTGGCTTGCCAATCTTTCGTGATTGTGTTGCCTTGTGATGTTTCGGCGTCTGCAGTTTGTCTCTGCATCCTCGGCTGTTTGTCCTACTACAGTCAACCGCTGTCTCGCGGCTTTCGATTTCGGCTCCCCCGTTGTCCTCCTTGCTGGCTGGCGGGTCCAGGCTGTACGCACTCACGCTGCCCTCCGACGGGGGTGGACCAGCCGAGCCATCGTCGCCTGGGGAAGTCTTGTCATTATCCAACATCTCGTCTTTTTCGTCCTCTCCGTTGTCGCTGTCCTCCCGACCGACATATATCGGGGTTGCCTCGTCTTGCAGGGAGTTCTTCGAGGTGAGAAGATGAGTCTTGATTATGACGGCCAGCGAGTCCGCCATCACTTCTGCCGGGCAAAACCTGCTCGCGGGCACACTGTAGGGGAGTGCTGTGATGGTGTTCCACGCTCTCCAAGTGAGGCCTTCCTGCAGTTTGGCTTTCTCATCCAGCTTGACCAGAAAGGGGTCGAATGATCTGCGGTCATCTCGTGCGTTATTGCTGCCGCTGGTCGTGGCTGTGTGGTATTGGGGGACCTCGTAGACTCCCAAGGGGCAGTCTGCATAGATGTGGTCCTTGATGCACCTGGCCAGGGCCCGATCATCGCTGATGGTGGGCATGGCAAAGGATTCCTCTGTCGCTACCTGCCACTCATTGAATCTGCTCCTAAACCRTACTGGGACGAGGGGACRGACTGGTTTGATGGTTTTTCTGTYCGTCCTTGCTRTCTCAGTGAYGGTGGGGGCTRCGTCCTCAACGATTTTCTGGATGGTGATGAGCTCCTTGTCGTGTCCTTTCYTGTAGTCAGCGTTCTGCTCAAACAAACGTTTTGTCTGTGCTGCCACCATCGCGATTTCTTGTGTGATTTGTCTCTGTTCGTTTTTTTGTTTGTTGGTGTCGTTCGACGGTCTCCTGAGTTTCTTTTCCTTGCCCTTGGAAGGTTTCCAGTTCTTCAGGGCCATTCCCCTTATCGAGTCTCTCGAGGTCTGCGTCTCCTGACTCGAGTCGGAGTTGGAGGATCCTGCTTCCCTTTCCCTCTTCTTCTCGTGGTACCTGAAGGCGGTGAATTCCAACAGTTCACTCTTTTGCCGCAGCAGCACGTCGAAAGCGTTCTTGGACTGTGGAATGCCTGCTACAGCCTGTTTGCCTGTGCCGGATGAGCCTGTTTTCTCCATGTGTTTCATGCAGGCCACTCGGATGTCAAATTCTTTCTCTCTTTCGTACTTGGATTTCTCCAGGTATTCCCTCAGCCATGGGATAGGGGATGTCTCCTTTTCTTTGGATTTGCCGTTTGGATCGTTCTTCCTGGGAGAGATATCCATCCCTGTCTGATTTTCGGGATCTGAGTTCTTGCTTGTTCCGTCTGTGAGGGGGTTGCCTGTGCCGTCAATGAGGGGGGTGCCTGTGAGTGGGTCTGAGTGGAGATCATCCTCCGATGGGGGTTTTGTTTCCCGTCTCTTTTTCTTTCCTGCCCTGTCGTCTGTGTGTTCTTTTTGGGGGGAGGCCTGTCTTTTGAGTGCGGTTTCCGATTTGGGGTATCTTTCCTCGATGATTTGTCTGGCCTTCTGGAGGTGATTTCTGTCATCTTCTGGATTCTGGAATGCTTCGGCAGTCTGATGTCTGATCGACTCCAGATCCCATAGCAGGTCTTCATGTTTTTTTTCTTTCCGGATCGCTCGTGAGTCGACCAATGGATCAGAATGGAATTTCCCTGGCAGGCCAGTAACCTTTTTGGCTCCCACTGCGTGCCATTTACTGTCTGATGGGGGGAAGATATCTGGCTGCTTGGTTGCTGGTTTCGTGTGGCTGCAAGTCCAGATCCACATTGGGTCCTGGATGGTGTCGTCAAAAACCCAACCATCGTATTCTGGGTCATTGACGAACCAGATGCCTTTGGCCTCTTCGACCTCAGCTAGCATGCTTTGCCTGAGTTTCTTCTCTCTCGTGTGGTCGGGTGAGCGGGGGCATCTGGGGTCGGTTCCCAGATGGCCTCTCTCTCTGCAACGGAAACATATTGGGTTTGACTTCGTGGAAACCACCACCATGTAGGATTTGTCATCGATGATGCATTCCCACTCTTCTGGGAAGGTTGGAGGTTCGTCAGTGTGAACTTCTAAAATCGTTGTCATAGAGTCGCAGTCGGGTGACAAGAAGTCTG